GCCTAGCAATGGACGAGTTCTTGTGCAGCTGGAACTGAATCCATTCCTTTACAGCCTTGCAACACCATTGATACCTCTCCAATCAATGGGCTTACCATGTAACAATATACACAACTGCTCTCTCTGTTGAATGTAAGCTCCCCTGAGTTTGCAGCGGCAAATGCGGATGACTTCTCTCCTATTTCTTGGATCTTGGACAGTGGTGCTTCTGACCACATGGTTGCTTCAGACCTGAATTTTACCACACACAGCAACCTCACTAAACCAGTTCATCTACCCACTGGTGACATAATTCTAGCAAGCCTACAAGGCTTTTTTTCTTTAGCTAATGGGACTTTTCTTCATAACGTGTACATGCCACAATTCAAGTGCAATTTACGGTTCGTTAGTAAACTTACTGCTCAATTAAACTGTGTGGTATTATTCTTTCCAACCTTTTGTGTCCTCCAGGACCTTGTTTCCAAGATGGTGATTGGAGTGGGTAAACTCCACCATGGTCTCCACCACTTCAAGTTTGTGGATCAGACACCCTCATCTATTCATTCGGCTGTCTCTGAAGACAATTGCACCATATGGCATAGGCGACTTGGTCATGCTTCCAACAGTAGCATTTCTTCTATTCTTGGTGTTCAAACTAGCTCCCATAACACTTGTTGTGATGCTTGCCACCGCGCCAAACAAGCACGGATTTCATTTCCAATCAGCACAACTCGTGTTTCTCAACCATTCAAGCTTCTTCACTGTGATATATGGGGAGGCTATCGAACTCCTTCACATTTTGGGGCTCATTTTTTCTAACAATTGTAGATGATAACACCTGCTGTACTTGGGTATATCTGTTACGAAATAAATCAGAGGCAATTCCTTCCCTCATATATTTTTGCAACATGGTGCATAGACAATTCAATTGTTTAGTTCAAATGGTCAGATCCGACAATGGCTCTGAATTCATGTCATGGCCATTGCAAGAATACTTCCTTCACCATGGCATCTTGGATCAAATCACTTGCATTGATACCCCCCACCAAAATGGTATAGCTGAGCACAAACATCAACATTTGCTGGAAGTAGCTTGTGCTTTGAAGTTTCAGGCCTCACTCCCTACTTCATTTTGGGGGGAATGTTTATTGACATCTACTTACATCATCAACCTTCTCCTCACATCGGTGTTATCTAGCCACTCACCTTATGAAGCACTATTTCATTCACCACCATCTTATGAACACTTACAGGTATTCAGTTGCCTATGTTATGCAGTGCATCCCCGACCCCTTGATAAATTTGCAAGCAGGGCTATTAAAGGTATCTTTGTCGGCTATCCACATGGTAAGAAAAGATACCATATATTCGACCAAACCACTAGTCATATATTTGTTTCTCAGGATGTAAGTTTTTATCATATCTTCCCCTTCTCCCAAACTCAGAAACCCCAGCCATCCCCCGTCATTCCTTTACCACAATCAAATGAGACCCACATTGATACTGCTCTCCAGCCTACAAATGAGATCATTGCCAAATCCACTCAAAACTCGACCCCTCCAAGTCCTAATATCCATGAATCTGAACCCACCACTATGCCTCTTTCACCCCAAATCAACAGATCCCAGCCATCACCACACGACCACAATGGTCTCACAAAGTCCCAGCCCGACAACAAGATTACATCTATTCCCTTCCACCATCATCCTCTAATAATGCAACCGGAACCCACTACATATGCTCAAGCAGCCTTTGACCCTCGATGGGAACATGCAATGGATGATGAAATTACAGCCTTGGAAGAACAACACTTGGACTCTTGCAGAACTGCCACATGGCAAACGAGCTATTGGTTCAAAATGGATTTATCGCATCAAATATCGTGCTGATGGCTCAATCGAGAGGTTCAAAGCACGTTTAGTAGCCAAGGGCTACACCCAAGTGGAAGGTCTTGACTTTCATGACACATTTGTGCCTGTAGCAAAACTAATTATAGTACATTGCCTACTTGCTGTTGCCGTAGCCAAAAATTGGGACATTCACCAACTAGATGTCAACAATGCTTCCCTACACGGATATCTTGATGAAGAAGTCGATATGACTATCCCTCTCGGTTTTGCCAAACAAGGTGACCATCGATTATGAAAATTGCAGAAATTTCTTTATGGGCTCAAATAGGCTTCTCGCATGTGGTTTCATAAATTCACCCAAGCTCTTCTTTTCCTAGACTTCACTCAATCTATGACAGATTATTCATTGTTTACCAAACAAAACGACACTTCTTACACTACTGCCGTAGTTTACGTTGATGATGTTATAGTTGGTGGGAATGATCCTTCAGTCATTTCTGCTTTCAAAGCCTTTCTCAATGAGCACTTTGGAATCAAGGATCTTGGGCCACCTAGTTTTTTCTTGGGCCTTGAAGTAACCTGCACTGATTCAGGCATTTTCCTTAGTCAAGAAAAATATATTCGTGAGATACTTCAAGATACAGGAATGATAGACTGCAAGCCTGCACCAACACCCATGGAGTGCCAAAGACACTTCATTGACTCTTCTAGTCCATCTCTTGCTGATCCGGTACAATATCGTAGGCTTGTTCGCCAGCTAGTGTACTTCATTGTCACTAGACCGGACCTATGCTTTGCTATCAACTGCTTAAGTCAGTTCATGCATGACCGCAAGCAAGAACATCTCGGTGTTGCTTTGTGTGTTGTCCGCTATCTAAAAGGCACTTCCTCTTATGGCATCTTCATGGCAGCCCAGAATGACCTCATCCTTCAAGGATTTTGCGACTCAGATTGGGCCAGCTGTCCACTAACACGACGCTCCACTACAGGTTACATTACCATGCTTGGAAACTCTCCCATATCTTGGAAAACAAAGAAGCAACATACCGTCTCACGCTCCTCTGCTGAAGCTGAGTATCGTGCAATGGCAGTCACAACTTCTGAACTCTTATGGCTCAAAAGACTCCTTGCTGAACTCACCATCTTTGTTAATGTCATACCTCTACATTGTGACAGTAAGGCTGCCTTACACATCGCAGAAAATCCAGTATTTTACGAGCGTACAAAACACATCGAGATCGATTGCCACTTTGTTAGAGACCATGTTCAGCAAGGAACCATCCATCCACAACATTTATCTAGCTACAACCAGCCGGCTGACTTGTTTACTAAAGCTCTCAACTCTGATCAATTTCATCACCTTCTGTCCAGGTTGGGCATTTGACTGCTCCATGCTCCAACTTGAAGGGGGGGTGTTAGAGATATTACAGCTGTAAGTTAGTTGTACAGCTGTCATCTGTTACAACCTTCGGGCTTAGGTGTACAACTGTTAGTCGGTTATTTTCTCCTCCAAATTGTATTTATAAATATCTCAGTCACTTGATGAAATCGCATGCTTCTTCTCCAATTGTTGCTCTGCGTTCCATGTCTGAACCAGTTTTACAGATTTTTTTTATGCTAAATTGTTTCTAGTAGTATTTGCACTCCCCTGTATTTGCTTAGAAACCACAACAATGCTTCTTAACTCCCAAAACATGGAATAATATTTTCTTCTTCATATTGACAAGCTTAACCCCCCCCCCCTCCCCCCCCGATTATTCAACAGAAATTTGCACATATGTTTGTTGTCCCTAAGGCCAAGAGAGCATTCAAGAATTTTGCTCTCCCTTACAAAACAAGATTCCCCTCCTCATTTTGCCAATTATCAGTGTTAAACTTATGAAATTGACATATAAGAAAATCTACACAAGGATTTTTTTTTTTTTTTTTTTTTTTTTTATATTGATAGCAACTAGCAAGTATATATTTCTTTGTAGCTACTGCTAAATAAATGGGCAGAAATAGGTAGCAAGACCTTTTAGAGAGGTGTTATCCTTAAACAGGAATTGGAAAATAAAATCAGGTTTTAAATGGACTCTCCCAATGATAGGAGTATTTATGTCAGCCGTGTGATTGATTTTAATGCAGATTCTTGGGCAACATTTCATGGATTACATTTTTTTTTCTTTCCCATCCTTGCTTATTTGATTTACATTATGAACTCTTTCTTTTCCTAAATTGAGGCAGCATGGATATAGGAATGACAAGTTGCAAGTTATCCCAATTTTGACAATATGTAGTTTTTTTCTGTATATCTAAAATCCATGTTTTCTCTGCTTGCTAATTGAATGAAAATATCCTTTTAGTCTATGTCTCTCACCTAAAGTTCACCTTTTTGATAAATCACATCACAAACTTATCATTGTTTGTGGCATCTGTTATGATGATTATGTACTAAAATATACAAACATGAAAAATGTATGTTGATATGCTGAGCTGATGTATCGGATTTCTTTACTACCTTCCTTTTCTGTGGAATTTGATAGGATGGCAATGTGAAATGTTTGAAAAAATGGGCATGGATATGGACATATGCAAGAAGTCTGGGCATGAGTAGTAGTATGTTTTCTCTTGATATTAAAAGTAATTTAAATGGGGAGTCTGTATAGAATGAAGGTAATAGATGGAGAGATGTAAAAAAATTCTCTACGCAAGTACCTATATCTGCTAAGGTGTAAATGTAAAACACTGAAAACCTGGACTGGTGTTGACATACCCTGAATATAATATAGTTTTACTCTATTAGCCATCATCCAATTCTAGTCCCCGCTATCCAGGGTCTTAGGAGGGGGTGGACTGGTTAAAGACCTAACCTCCAGCAATTTGCCACCAATTGGCTGTTCTCAGGCTTAAACCACATTCCCACGTTTGTCAACCCAAGATTTTACGATCGCACCAAGCAATGGTAAAATCTCTTATTACTCGTGATAAAAAAATCGTGAATTGGCATAAAAACCAAAGAACTGATAGAAAGATGCAACATGATTCAAATTTTGTTTTTTCGTTTCCTTTGGATCTGAGCTTCTTTTCAGCGTCACTTCCAGGTTACTTTTCTCTGAGACTTCTGAAATTCTTTCTTTTATTCAATATCTAGTTGGAGTTTAGACTAACAACAATCCTGCTTATGTTCAGGAAATCTGACACTAAATGCATATGAAGAGGATTGTGAATTTGCTGATCCAGCAGGTTCCTTTAGAGGGCTCCGCCGTTTCAAAAGGAACTGTTCAAATTTTGGGTCTCTAATTGAAAGGTCAAACATGAAACTTATGAAGTGGGAAGACTTTGAGGTGAGTCCACCAAGTTTAATTCTCCAGTGCCTTAGGAAGTAGGTTTTTATTTCCTGCTAGAACATTCAGTTGCATGTCACGTGTTTTATAGCTGACATACTGGAACACAGGATAAGGGAATTGGACATTGGCGTTTTAGCTGCATCTTATCATTTCCTTGGAGACCCATTCTTTCTGGTACGTGTTAAACTGCCAATTCAAACACTGGGTAATGGTTTACCGTCTCAACTGTATCAACCAGATAGCAGTATCTTGGTCTCCCATTTTTTCAAGTACTGCTCACAGCAGGTACAATTTGTTATTTAAATAATGCATTCACCATGTTACTGATTATACCTATGCATCTTCTTTTCTTACATAGCCACTGGATATACAGAGTACTATTTTGATGCTCAATCCGGAAGGGTATGCAGGTAAGTTTCTCGTAATAATGCCTTTGTATCTTTCTTTATGACCATATTATCAATGTTTTTTTTTTACACATTTGGTTCTCTGCCTTCTCTTAGGCATGTTGAGCATTGGAATGTTCCTAAAATGGCACTACTGAAGCAAATTCTCAGGCCTAGCAGAGGCTTATGGGGCAAGAGAAGAGGCGTTTGAAAAGTATACATTGGGACTTAAAACATATTTTCATCGGCATTATCATGCCTTTGAATCAGTTCGTAAAGCCAAAGCTCAAAACTACTCAACCAGGACCACATGCATACTGCTTCATTGTTGTTATGGAAGTGTGTGATGCAAGTAGTTGGTGGCAAAACTGCACTCGTCTCCCTCTTGTATCTGATTATATGGCCTCATCCAGTGTTTAGTTTGCTTGCTGATGACCCACATTGTACAGTAATTAGAAAGCAAAAACGAAATGTAGAAAAAAAAGTTCCTTGTAAAATAATGTTAATCTGCTTGTCATCCTTACTATTGACCTTTTATTTGTAACAAGAACCTTTATAAATTATCATAGAAAGTGGGTACAGGATACATAGACAGAACAAGGACCAAAATGGGTCCTAAAGCCAGCCTTCGAATAAACTATCCTAGACAAACCTTACATGTACAAAAGGCAATTTTTTTAAGGAATACCAGAAAACAATTCAATCCTATGTATTCCTGATCTTTCTAAACTATCAGCAAGATCATTGGACGGTCGGACTGTTTGGCCTGGGAACTGTCTAGGCACTATCACCTAGCCCAAGGTTTAAATCAATGTTTTTGAACCACCATTGATCTAGACGGTCGGATTGTTCGGCCTGGGAACTGTCTAGGCAACCGGTTATGTTTTACCCCAAACCTGGTCCTTGGCCGTTTCTTATTTTAATTATTTTTTATTTTTTGTTGGAATGGGCTATCCATTTGGATCGGACGGTTAAACCATCGACTTGGAAATCGGTGGCTAGAGGTTCTAGTTCTAGGATAGTTTTAAAACCTTGGTTTAAAGTATTTGTATTGAGTATTGATGAGGGGTGATTTGGCCCTCTAGTGACATGATGACACGTGGCACCTCAATAGCTAGACGACATCTCAGCGCCATGTAAGTAAACCTCGGGAGCACCTCGGACACCTCGCACCTACCTTGACGGCCGGACTATGAATGGTTCGGCCAAACATTAGGTTGGCGTAAGTAGACCTGTTCATGGGTCGGGCCGGGCTTTGACTCTTTATTAACAGAAAAATGATAGGTCCGAGCCCGAGCCCGGCCCGACCAACGGGCCTACAACTTGGGCCCGAGTCCGGCCCTGATAAAAAGATCGAAGCCCGAGCCCGAAGCCCGACCTAATAAAAGAAATTTAAAATTTTCCCTATTCAAATAGACATTATCTATTTTAATTCAGATGTTTTTTTCCCCTATTTAAATGAACAATGGGCCTACAAGTGAATCAACAACCTTCTTAAATCAAAAAAAATTATTCAAATGGACATCACATAGGGTTTTTACTTGGGTTTAACTATAGGTCGGGCCGGGTTTACTTAGGTTTAACTATAGGTCGGGCTGGGCCGGGCCGGGCTCGGGCCAGGCTATTTTGGTAAAGCCTGAGCTCGGCTCGAATTTTATGCGGGCCGGGCTTTTTGGCCCGAGGTTAAGCTCGCGGGCCAAAAAGTCTGTTCAAGCCCGTCCGGGGGTCGGGCTGGCCCGTCGGGCCACCCGGCCCATGAATAGGTCTAGGCGTAAGAGGCGACCTACTTCTGCCAACCTGACCTGAGTTCAGCTAGCGACTTGCCTGATGTGTTGGGTGACCTCCCCCATGAGCGGGTTATCGTCTCTAACTTCCTTGGAATCACAATGCCGCATTGGAAGAGACAATTACCACCCCGCTCGCTTCGGGCACGACTAGATAGATACTACCCACTTATGCGGAGTCCATCTCTGGGTGTGAAACCACCTCTGAATCAGACAGGTTGGAGATCTCGGACGTGCTTCATGAGCCTCATGACAACTTGCCTATATAAATGTATCCCATTCACAAAAAAGGTATGTGTGATTTAGCTCTCACACACTCTAGCTCTCTTGCTTTTTATCTCTCTTAGAACTCTTCGTTGACTTAAGCAACAAGGTGCCCACCCTAGGTAAAGCAACCCGGACACTCTGATCACTTCTTTCTTGTATCTCGACCAGGCAACCTACTCAGCTCGGCGTCCGAGCTGTCCACCAAAAACTCTGTTCTCACACTCTCTCTAATTACAAGCTTGATGGCATCTTCCAACAACAACCCTGTTAACAATGTCGACAACAACGCACATGTTGACAGAGCAGTCATAGGGGGTAGGACTAGCAAACCATGCACACTGAGGTCCCCTCTGTCACTATCAAGCAGTTCACTATGCCCCTAACCTACCAGGCATCCCTGTCGTGCAAAATCCTAGCCGCCCTCTACCCATCGTGAATACACCTCTTGTAGCGGTCGAGCCCTTTGCGGTTCCCGTCGGGATTGATGGCTGCTAGTTTCACGAGTTGGTATAGTTTGTTCGTGGGAGAGACCTACATATGAGAACGTGGGAATGTCGTTTTGTGGCATTAGTAGGGGTGCAATAGTAGCAGTCATATAAACAACACCAACAACATTAGGCCACCAGGTAGAACGTCAACTATAATCAACAACCCAACTAGAACTTGAACCAGGTACCAAATCTACCTCATTACCATGACTAGCCAAGCCAGGTCCAAGTTAAGGAGTCGAGTTGAGTTGTGGCATTGGTTGGGACCGAAGCAACCAATTCTACTGAGGGATCCAAGAGAAAGCGTCGTAGATGCGCACACCATAATGTAGGAAAGAGCCGCCTTGCCCCGAACGACAACGATGATGTAGAAAAGAAGGAGGCGAGTCAGATCCCCACCTCGATAGCGTAGTCGATGACCCGCACCTCACCACTAGCAGTTGAGATCCTCATGGCCCCAAGACCTAAGGACTTCAAGCCCCTAGCTTGGAATCATACGATGGAACAACCGGCCTGGTCGACCACCTTGACAGTTTCCAGGCCCTTATGCAGCTACATGGGCCAATGTGGCACAAGCTTTTGCATGGCCTTCCTGACGACCTTACGGGGCACAACTTGGATGTGGTACTTGGGACTAGCCGTTGGCTCAATTAAGAGTTGGAGCCAGTTTGTCGACCTCTTTGCCACCTACTTTGCGATGAGCAAGCGTTGTTCGAAGTGAATGACTTATCTTTTGAACGTGGTGTAACTTTGAGGTAAAGCGGATTCTGGTCGACTTCAGCAGCTCGACAAATATCATCTTTTTGAAGGCAATCGAGTGGATGAAGCTAGAGAGGAAGGCCGCACCACTTCAGCAGAGAAGTGGTGTGGCCTCTGAAGTGGTGTGGCCTCGAGGTTGAGTAAGAGTACTAGTGACAGTGGGCTCAGTGTCGAATCAAATGCACTTCGACCATGATTTCCTAGTGGTAGTAACTCCCTTGCCCTACAATGCCATCTTGGGTCGACTGATTTTGCACACCACACCCTCAGAGCCGTGGTGTCGACCTACCATCTGTCGATGAAATTTCCTGCGGACTATGGAGTGGGAGTAGTGCGAGGTGATCAGCTCGAGTCTCGCAAGTGCTAAGTTGCCGCGTTGAAAGGGAAAGGGAAGTAGGCCGCTGACGTCGACTTGAAGCCATCCCCGGAGATGGGTGATGAGAGAGCTTGCCCCATGGAGGACACCGTCCTAGTTCCTGTCTCGGATGTTGACCCCACGAAGACGGTGTAGATCGGAGCCTATCTCAAGGAACCATTGTGCTATGAACTGGTAAGTTTTTTAATTAATAATTTAGATGTTTTCGCTTGGTCAGTAGTAGAAATCTCACGTCATAGTGGTGGAGGATGGTGGACGAGGAGGTAGGGAAGCTCCTCGCAGTAGACTTTGTTAGAAAGGTCCAATGCCCAAGCTGGATTGCAAACCCAATGCTCATGAAAAAGGCTAATGGCAAGTGGTGCATGTGCATCGACTACACCGACCTCAATAGAGCTTGCCCAAAGGATAGCTTACTACTCCCTAGGATAGATCACCTGGTAGATGTGACATTGGGGTTTGAGCTGTTGAGCTTCATGGATGCTTACTCCAGCTATAACCAAATCCAGATGGATCCAATCGAGCAAGAAAAGACTACTTTTGTAACTGAAACAGACTTGTATTGTTATAAAGTTATGCCCTTTGGTTTAAAAAACGTTGGGGTGAAATACCAGCTTCTTATAAACAAAGTATTTGTTGATTTGATTGGGAATAAAATAGAACCTTATGTCGATGATATAGTTGTTAAAACCCGGTTTTCAAATGCTTTGATTTTTGACCAAAACTGTGTTTTTGACATTCTAAGAAAATATAACATGAAGCTCAACCCGAATAAGTGCATCTTTGGGGTAACATCGGGCAAGTTCCTCGGGTACATTGTGAACCAACGTGGCATCGAGGCTAACCTGAACAAAATCCAGGCCGCCCTAGATATGAGACCCCCTAGGTCGATTAAAGAAGCTTAAAGGCTAACAGGACGGATAGCCACCTGAACTAGTTTATGTCTAAGTCGGTTGAGTGATGCCTTCCGTTCTTTAAAGCCATAAAAATGAACCAAGACTTCGAGTGGACTAAAGAATGCTATCTTACATTTGACGAGATGAAAATATACCTAAGTTCACCACCCTTGTTAAATAGGTCAGAACTCGGAGAAGAGTTAAAACTCTACATCTCAACGAGTAACGAGGTAGTCAACTTGGTTCTAATTCGCGAGATAGACAAGGTGAAGCAAGTTGTCTACTACGTAAGTAAAGTCCTATACGCTGCTATGACAAGGTACCCAAACATCGAAAAGTTGGCCCTTCTCACTAGTGCTATCTGCCCGTAAACTACGCCCTTACTTCTAGGTCCATACAATTGTAGTCTTGACTGGTCGACCTCTGAGACAAGTCCTTCAGAAACCTAAGTTCTTAGGAAGGTCAACAACATGGGCAATCGAGCTCAACGAGTATGACATCCAGTTCGAGCCACACGCAACGATCAAGGCCTAGGTCCTAGTAGACTTCATCACCGAGTGCACGTTCAGCACGTCGACCCTTGAAGTTGTCAAGCCCGTGACCACCTCAGAGGCATTTACCAGCTTGGCACCCGATCCGACTTGGGACGAGGAGCCATGGATCCTCTATGTGGATGACTCATCCAACCAACATAGAAGCGGAGTTGGGTTAATCCTCTATGGACCTAGCGAGGTAAAGCTGGAGTACACTCTCTGATTCACGTTTCGAGTTGAATGGGTAGCGACTCCCAACTTGTGATGAATCAAGTGAATGGACAGTACGGGGCTTGGGAACCTGCCATGTTGGCATACTTGGCCAAGGTTAGAGAGCTCCTGCCTAACTTCCACTCTTGGTACATCTGGCAAGTTCTGAGGTTCGAGAACATTGAGGCCGACGTGTTCTCATAGTTGGCTAGTGCA